CACAAACCTGACAAAAAAAAAAAAAAAGAAGTATATAGGGAAGACCCATGAATTTTTCCCTGACCTCCCCTAGTGTGAACAGCTCACACAACTGCAGCACAATAACAAAGCCAAGAAATTCATCCAGTAATCCACAGAATGCGCTCAGATTTCCTCCATTACGCATGCATATCTTTGCATGTGTGTATGTGTGTGTGTGTGTGTATGGCTCTGTGTAATTTTATCACATGCATAACCTTGCACAATCACCACTACAATCAAGGTACTCAGCCGTGTAAGTAAATTATATCTCCATAAAACTTATTAAAAATATAAAAGTTGGTACTGTAACTTAAAGGAAAAGCACTTGCTTAGCATATTCAAGGTCTTGGCTCAACTCTTAAAAATGAGCAAGCAAAACAAAAACAAAAAACCACTCCTGTCATCACAAGACACTGGTGTTATCCCTTTCCAGCCACACCCATCCCTCCCCGCCATCATAACTCCTTGGCAGAAGCTGAGCCATTCTCCGTCTCCACAAGTATGGGATCTCGCAGTGAGCATCCTTTTGAAACTGCTTTTTTTTTTTTTTTAACCCAACATAATTCTTTTGAGATCCATCCAAATTGTCACAGGTATCAATGTGTGGCCCTTTTTATTTCTGAGTAGCATTCTGACCTGGATGAACCGTAATTCATTTAACCATTCACCCAGTAAAGGACATCTGTTGGTCTCCAGTCTGAAACTTTAAATGAAGTTGCTATGAACATTTGTATACAAGCTTCTGTGTGAAAATAAATCTTTGTTTCTCTTGGATAAACGCCCAGGAGTATGACTGCTTCATCAGATAGTAAATGTATGCATGTTTTCTTTTTTCCAGAAACTGACAAACTGTTTTCCAAAGTGGGCGGCTGTATTATTTTTTGTTCCTCAGCCGTGTATGAGTGACTTAGTCTCTCTGCAGCCTAGCTGGTGTTTGGTGTTAATCCCTATTGTGTGTGTGTGAGCGCGCACTTGCGCGCGAGTGTGTGTGAGTGTGTGTGTGTGTGTGTGGTGCTGGGGATTGAACCCAGGGCCTCATGCATGCTAAACAGGCTCTCCACCTCTCAGCTACACCCTCAGCCCAATTTTAGCCATTTTGATAAGTGTGTAGTAATATCTCCTTATGGCTTAATTTGCAATTCTTTAATGGCTAACAATGTCGAATATCTTTTTATATGCTTGTTCACCATCTACATAGTCTTTTTTTATTTTCTTATTTGTTTATTTAGGGGGATTGTGTTTTGAGATGGGGTGTCACCTGTGTTGGCCAGATTCATCTTAAACTTCTGGGTTCCAGTGATCCTCCTACCTCAGCCTCACAAGTACCTGGGACTACAGGCATGCGCTACTGTGCCTGGCTATTATATTTTCTCTGGTGAGATGTCATCCATTTTCTAATTGGATTATTTGTTTTTTAATTATAGTTCATGAATGTATATATATATTATATATATATATTATATTCCAGATATAAGGCCTTTTTTGGGGGGGTACCAGGGATTGAACTTGGGTCCTTGCACTTGCAAGG